TTGCATTTCCTTCCAATTGATATACGGCTAATGTCACTTTCTCCTCGTCTGTACATCCCAATACTTCAAAAGCTTTTTCTAATTCCTCCACCCACAGCGATGCACCCTCAAGATCGCCTCTACCATCAAACTTAGGAGGCTTTAACTTCAGAAACTGTTCAACTAATTGGTGCATTTGTCTATTCGCATTCACCTGCCCCTGCCCTTGATTCTCATTATTATTATTGGCAGCAGCGGCCACAGCGGCCTCGGCAGCTAGGGCAATCGTGGCAGCTCGTTCCTGAGTTTGCTGTCCTATCAGATTATCGATCTGTTCTAGGGTCCTCATGACCGCTTCCATTCTAGGATCTTCTGCAGGTCGAGTTCGGGCTCGCGAGCTGGACGGACCCCCAGTTCCTCTACCTTGTGAACTCATCCTCACGATTTCTACCACTCGTCTACCTGCTATAATTCCACTCAAGAATTAGAAACCTAGGCCAGCTATACTAGTCTAGTTTTAGGCAGTGAATTAACACAATAATTCACTCAGCAGGAAATCAATCACCACAGGCACAAGGCCGCAATCAATAGGGTCTGCGCACTTACCTCAGGTCCAGACGCACCTGCAATTCAATCGTTATAACACTCAATTCACCCAACAATCACAACAAACAATCTGGAGGCACGTGTAGCTTATTCCACCCTATGACTCGCTAAGGTCTCCCTAGATTACTACCCCAGGGTCCCTGCTCCTTATCACTCCAAACTTCGACCAGTTTAGATCGAGTTGTCTTCGCTCTGATACTAAACCAACAAGTGATGTCACACCCCGAACCCCATCGAGAACGCGACACACTTCTCTGGTCGAATGATGCGACATCCCAGGGTATCACTGACCCAATTCAACTTATCAGAGATTTATGTCCATCAACGAAAGCCACAATCAATACCCAGACAATAACAACTGGGGTAAACATGGGAGATTAACCACATCCAATACTGATTCAAATTTATATAATATCCACAATTTACAAACCACAATATATACGAGCACACCGAACTTCTATACTATAAACCACCGATGTCAAAAAGGATCGATAGCCTGGGTACTCTATCACAAAAATGGTACACTTCAAAAAGCCTATTCCAGACCTCTACACTAGCCCCTACGCCCTCTGCTTGGTGTCCACTCCGAATTTGATTCCTCGTCATCTGAATCTGAATCCCCCCGGACTGTCTGCTCTTCTGAGGACTCCGGCTTGGTCTTGATCTCGATCGGGTTGTTTATATCACCCGACTCCGCTGGAACCTCAACCGCTCCTCTTCGATTGGCTCCTCGTTCGACTCGTCCTCTGGCACAAACTCGGGATCGTACCATGGCTCATACTCGGGTACGTCCTCTGGCTCCTCTTCAGGCTCTTCTTCCGGTGCCTCTTCAGGTTCGTCCTCAGGGTCTTCATCTTCTGGTTCTTCTTCGGGTATTACTTCAAGGTTCGGTCTTTGCGGGCGCAAGTCGAAGTTGAAGTCAGGCCCTGCGGCTAGTCTCTAGACTCATCATCTCGCCGTCGGGAGGGGTATGGCTACCAGGTCCCAATCTCCAACTCCGTCAAAGGGGACATCAAATCCATGGACGGGGCCAAACTCATCTACCCGTCTCGAAAGAACCAAGCGGTAGAGGTATGGGCCTGCCAAAGGGGTAACCCTACGTCTACCCAGATTACTGTGGTATGCTTGATCCAGGTCATATTATCGTCTATCGGGTATTTTACAACATTATGGTCGGTGTGCATCGGTACTCCAAAACGCTCAGGTGTCGGCGTTGGGAGATTCATTGCTTAGGCCGGGGTTCTGAAATTGTCGGTTGAAACAACCATGAGATTACATCTCAATAAGCACACACCCTAAACCCTACCTAGGCTATCACGTACCTCCAGACAACCACAATCACAAGCACACTCAGCCATCACATCACAGGCACACAATTTATACTTACCTGGGCCTTTCCTGCGTGCGACCTGCACGTTAGCCACAGTAGTATAATTTCCAATCACATGCACGTTCTTGTTACATTTCCCACACTCATTCCTGTCTCATCACATTATTTCTCCACAACTCACCAGTGATCCGCGTAATAGTACCGCCTCAGGTTCATTGCGACTAACTCATAACAACACTTCAAGGCCGCATATTGGTACCGTCTCAGGCCGTGTATCTTGCCCGCGTAGTGGTATCGCCTCAGGCTCAACACCCACCACCTACGACACAACCCGCGTAATGGTACCGCCTCAGGTTGGTCGTCCTCTGGTAATACCGGGCATCGTCCCGCGTAGTCGTATGGCCTCAGGACGGATCAATTCCCCGCGTAATGATACCGCCTCAGGGATTTCCATTATCACACGTATCACACCCCACTTGCTTTCTCACTCGTTCACACATTCAACACCCACATGCCAACATATTAGCCAATCACACTTGGCCCATGCACGCATCAAACCACGCATTTCTCAAGCTCAATAAACACCCAACACGGCCAATTGATAGTAAATTTCAATTCGGCCCAAGCGTGCACATAACGAAACACATTTCAATCAATCAAGTCACGATACAACAAACATACAAGGCCACTAACGGGCCCACAAACACAGCCACTACATGGGCACAAAATTCAACATTTCCTCATCCATTTTTAACCCGAATCTTCACCACAATTCAGCCATAAATCAACGCACCAAACCGGTACCGTTTGCCTCGAAATTGAATCATACGCTCGTCAATACGAGCCCAATTTCCAACACCCAATTTCACATCCTCTCAGCCCCAAAACATCATCATTTCACCATCTAAAATCAACCCATATCAATTTCTAAATCAAAATACCAACATAACCCCTAAACGGTCCCAAATAACCCATAAACCGACACTAATTAATCCGATTTAGCCCTAATTCATCCGTTGATACCCGAAGTCCTAAATAGAGTTTAGGGCGTGACTTACACAAACTCTAGACTGGCTCGGCTAGAGTGGGAAGGGGGCGGCTGATCGGCGGCCTCACGGCGGCACTCGGCACCGGCGAGCGGGGCGGCGACGGCGGCGGTTGGCTGGACGACGGCTTCCTTGGCCACGGTTCACGGCCACGGGAGGGTGAGAGAGAGAGAGAGAAGGACGGCGTGAGGGTGGTGGTGCGGCGGTTCGGTGGCGGGACGACGGTGGCACGGCGGACGGTGGCCGGTGAGCGGCGGCGCGGCAAAGGGGAGGGGCGGTCGATCGGTGGGGGAGGAGAGGGAGCCGAGAGAGGGAGAAAGTAAGGAGAGAGAGAGGGAAAAATGGGCTTAGATAATCCAAGCCAATAATTAAAGGCCAAAAGACCATCTTGCCCTTCTCTCACAAATCCAATCAACGGCTTAGATTCGATCTTATCTTGAGATCAACAGCCCGGATCGAATCTTTTCCAAAATATCCAAGAGCAATTTGGGAATTTCTCAAAAAGTCCAAGGGCAAAATTGTCCAAAAATCTCTAATTCTAAGGCTAAGGTGAAATTACCAGAATGCCCTTCCCAAATTACATTAGCCTTAACAAATTTCCAGGGGTAAATTGGTCATTTTCCGTTTCTCGCCGAAATTCAATTTTTCTGAAGGATTTGGACAAATCCAAGGTTACCCGAGCAAATGACAACATCGTCCAAATGATCTGTCGTGACTTTCTAAATTTCCAATGCCCAACTTGGTCTCTAATTAATGCTTAAGTTCTGAATAACGTAACTTGCGCAAATCTCGTACTAACGGGCGGCTTTTGGGGGAAATTCGCGCATTTGACCCGTGGCCGATACTGAATCATGCCACGTATAAGTTTACTCGGGTCGTGACGACCTCGGTTGTTACTTAATCGCGAGGATCGATCGCTAGATCCGACGGGCACGATTGTTTGATATAGGTTTAGGGTCATTCGTCAATTCATTTCGTGGTCCAGCGGAATCACCCGCGATCCACTAATATGACAGTGGCGAACTGATCCGTAGCTATCCTTAGATCGGCCTATAGTGGCTCAAAATGACACCTCGACAATTTTCATGGTCGAAGGTCGGTTCACGATTGAGTTCTTTGGTCGCGCAAATTTTAATCCCTATTTAGCCTTTCCCTAACGGTTAGTATTCCCGAAGTGATCAATTCCGGGTGAGATCTAACTACAAGCACGTCCATAAACTACTCATTTCATAAATCCCAAGTGGGTCAGATTTTAGAATGTCACAGCAGGTAATTAATTGCCACAGCATAAGCCCACAATCAATAGGGTCTGTGCAATTACCTCAGGTCCAGACGCACCTGCATTTCAATCGTCATACAATCAATTCACCCAACAATCACAACAAACAATCTGGAGGCACTCGTAGCTCATTCCACCCTATGACTCGCTAAGGTCTCCCTAGATTACTACCCCAGGGTCTCTGCTCCTTATCACTCCAGACTTTAACCAACTAAGATCGAGCTATTCTCGCTCTGATACCAAATCAACAAGTGATGTCATGCCCGAAACCCCATCGAGCACGCAACACACTTCTTGTCATGCCCCGAACCCCATCGAGCACGCAGCACACTTCTCTTATCGAATAATGCGAAGTCCTAGGATATTGCCGACCCAATTCAACTTATCAGAGATTTAAACATCAGCGAAAGCCACCAACACCCGGACAAGAATTAACTAGGGGCAAAGAGGAAGTATCGACATCCAGTACTTGTCCAAACTTATACAATATCCACATATACAATTCATAATATACAAGCACACAAAATATCCAAACTATGCACCACCGACATCAAAAGATCAGCAGCCTGGGTATACCCTATCTCCAAAAATGGTACACTTCAAAAAGTCTACACTTAGCCCCTACACTAGCCTCTGCATCCTCTGGATGGCGTCCACTCAGAGTCTAAATCCTCAGGATCCGAATCTGAATCCCCCTGAACTGTCTGCTCCTCTGAGGACTCCAACTCGGCCTCGATCTCAATTAGGTTGTCTATATCACCTGACTCTGCTGGAACCTCGACCCGCTCCTCTTCATCTGGTTCCTCATCCGACTCGTCCTCTGGCACAAACTCGGGATCGTACTCTGGCTCGTACTCGGGTGCGTCCTCTGGTTCTTCTTCAGGCTCATCTTCGGGCTCTACTTCTGGGGCCTCTTTAGGTTCTGCTTCAGGGTCTTCTTCCTCTGGTATCACCTCGAGATCCACATCCATCGGATCATACCTCACCTGGGATTCTTCCGGCTCCGGATCATGGTCGGCCCCTGAGGGCTCAGGTACTGTAGGTGCAGGCTAAAGTCCGAACTGCGCTAGACTAGTCTCCAAACTAGTCATCTCGCCATCAGAAGAGGGTATGGCTGATGGATCCCAATCCCCAACTCCATCAAAGGGGACATCGAAGCCACGGACGGGGCCAAACTCATCGAACCCGTGCCTGAACATCCAAGCTGTATATGTATGGGCCTGCCAGAAGGGTAGTCCTATATCTACCCAAACTACCGTAGTATACTTCACCCAGGTCATGTTATCATCTATCGGGTATTCTACAATATCGTGATCGGTGTGCATAGGAATCCCAAAACGCTGCTGCGGCGGTGGCGGTGGAAGGTTCATGGCTCAGGCCGGGGTTCTGAAATTGTTGGTTAAAACAACCATGAGAATACATCTCAATAAGTACACACTCTAAACCCCACCTAGGTTATCACGTACCTCCAGATAATTACAAACACAACCACACTCAGCCATCACATAACAGGCACACAATTTATACTTACCTGTGCCTTTCCTGCGTGCAACCTGCACATTAGCCACAATAGCACAATTTCCAACCACACGCATATGCCAAAAACATTTCACGCACTTGATCCTGCCTCATCACACTATTTTAATCCGACTCGCCAGTGACCCGCGTAATGGTACCGCCTCAGGTTCGCTGCGACCATCTCATATTTTCCACTCGACTCACCAATGACTCGCGTAATAGTGCCGCCTCAGGTTCACTACGACTAACTCATATTAACAACACTTCGTGGCCCGCATAATGGTACCGCCTCAGGCTCAACACCCACCACCTACGACACAACCCGCGTAATGGTACCCCCTCAGGTTGGCCATCCTCCGGTAATACCGGGCATCGTTCCGCGTAGTAGTACCGCCTCAGGACAGATTAATTCCCCACGTAATGGTACCGCCTCAGGGATTTTTTTTTTCACCACACATACAGCACCACCACATAATTTTTCACTCATTCACTTGCTCGACACCAACATGCCAATATATTAGCCAACCACAGTTGGCCCATGCACGTACCAAATCATACACATTTCTCATGCTCAATCAACACTCAATCGTGGCCAATTACCAATTAAATCAATTAAGCCCATGCGCGCACATAATAGCCCACATTTAAATCAATCAGCTCACGATTCAACAAACATACAAGGCCACTAACGGGCCCACAATCACAACCAATATCATGAGCATAAATTCGGCATTTCTAAACTCATTTCAAGTCATAACAAGTATCACAATCCAGCCACTATACAACGCACCAAACCGACACCATTTGCCCTTAAATCGAACCATATGCTCGTCAATACGAGTCCCAATTTCCAGCATTCAATTCGGCATCAATTCAGCCCCGAAACATTCCCAATTCAACCTCAATTCATCCAATACCAATCAGTCCTCAACAGCCACAAATTTTAGCCCTAAACAGCCACTAACCTAAACAAATCAGCCCCTAATTACGTCTATCGGTACCCGACATCCTAAATAGGGTTTAGGGGGTGACTTAATTGAACTCTAGGCTAGCTCGGCTAGAGTGGAAAGGGCGGCTGATCGGCGACCACGCGGCGGCGACGACGAGCGGCTCGGCGGCGGCGGCTGAACAGGACAAGATGAAGATGATGGTGATTCGGTGGGGACAAGCAAGGGAGAGAGAGACGGTGAGGTGAGCGGGGGTGGTAAGCGAGTGGCGGCTCCGACGAGCGGCTGCTCCGGCCAGGCAAGTGGACGGCTGGCTTGCTTGGTCGGCTGCTCACAGCCACGGAAAGGAGAGAGAGAGAGAGACGGCGACGAGAGGGTGGCGAGGGCACGGCTCCATGACCGGACGGGCGGCGACGGGCAGACGGTGGCCGGGACGGCGGCGGTACGGCCAAGGGGGGGAGGCGGACGATCGGTGGGGGGATTTTGCCAAGAGAGAGAGGGAGAGAGTGAGGAGAGAGAGAAAGAGTTTGGACTAAATAGTCCAAGGTCAATTATTGAGGTGCCAAAAGACCATCATGCCCTCCTCTCTAAAATCCAATCAACGGTCAAGATTCGATTTTATCTTGAGATCAACGGCCGAGATCGAATCTTTTCCAAAATATCCAAGGGTAATTTGGGGATTTCACAAAAAGTCCAAGGGCAAAATTATCCAAAAATTTCTATTTCTAATGCTAGGGCGAAATGACCAAAATGCCCTTCCCCAAATACACTTGGCCTTAACAAACTTCCAAGGGTAAAACGGTCATTTTCCCATTTCTAGCCGAAATTCGATTTTTCTGAAGGATTCGAATAATCCTAAGGTTGAACATACTAATAACAACGTCGTCCAACTGATCTGTCGTGACTTTCTAAATTTTCAATGGCCAACTTGGTCTCTAATTAATGACTAAGTTCTAAATAACGTAACTTGCACATATCTCATACTAACGGGTGGCTTTTGGGGAAATTCGCATTATTGACCCGTGGCCGATACTAAATCAAGCCACGTTCAAGTTCACTCGGGTCGTGACGATCTCGGTTGTCACTTAATCGCGAGGATCGATCGCTAGTTCCGATGGGCACGATCGTTTGACATAGGTTCGAGTCATTCGTCAATTCATTTCGTGGTCAAGCGAAATCACCTGCGATCCATTAATATGACAGCGGCGAATTGACCCCTAACTATCCTTGGATCGGCCTTCATTGGCTCAAAATGTCACCTCGACAATTTTCATGGTCGAAAGTCGGTTCACGATCGAGTTTCTTTAGTCGCGCGAATTCAAATCCCTAATTAGCCTTTCCCTAGCGGTTAGTATCCCAGAATGATCAGTTCCGGGCGAGATCTAACTACAAGTACGTTCATAAACCATTCATTTCATAAATTCCAAGTGGGTCGGATTTCAGAATATCACATTGCTTATATTGATTGATTGAATTCCCGCGATTAGGATAGTTAGAATTAGTTGACAGATCTCGAAAACTCGTGTGGCACGTCAAACACATCATATCGTTTTAGGTATCGAAAGGGCGTTAGGGATCTCGACTCGAGATAATTAGTGTAATCAAGTCCCCGTATTTAGAATCTCTAGTTCGCATAATCGTGGTATTTCTCCCATATCCTGATTAGGTTTCTAGTCAACCTATTAATAATGACTAATGGCGACTCCAAATTAAAACTTAGACTAAATAAAAAGATAAAAAAATCACAATCCGCTGTCACGTGAGGTATGATCTGGGAGAGGCCCCCATTTGTCTAGTGATGGGATGTCCGTGGGACGTTTGAGCGAAATATCCGCATCGGACCCTAATAGCTCATTCGGCGACAGTTTCCCTATTCATGACAAATGGAAGTACCTCCTTAGCGTGCCCCAAAAAAGTGCGGCGCGACAGGTATCCACTTCACCTTTCTCAAAATTATGTTCTTCCAGAAATGTACTTAATCTTTCATACCAAGTTCTTGGTGCTTGCTTAAGTCCGTACATGGCCTTTTCTAAGCGGTAAACATCCTGCGGTCTGCTTGAGTCTTCAAATCCTAGAGGTTGCTCAACAAAGACTTTTTCTTTAATGCAACCATTAAGAAAAGCACTTTTAACATCCATTTGATATAGCTGAATATTGTAAAAGTATGTATAAGCAGTTAATAATTGTATGGTCTCCAGTCTAGCAACAGGAGCATGGGTTTCATCAAAATCAATACTTTCCTCCTGTGAGTAACCCTTTGCAACTAATCTTGCTTTATTGCGAATTACATTACCTTTGTCATCAAGTTTGTTTCGGAATACCCATTTTGTTTCGATGACTGGATGATCTGAGGGTTTTTGCACAAATTCCTAGACTTCGTTTATTTTGAATTGGTGCAATTTCTCTTGCATGGCCTCTATCGAGCTTTTGCCAGAGATAGCTTCTTCGATCCTTTTGGATTCTTGATGAGATATGAGGGCCAAGGAATTCATTAGGTTTTTGAGTGAGGATATGGTTTTGATTCCTTCATTTATACTTCCAATGATTTGTTCCTTGGGGTACTCTATTTTGTATCTCCAATCTTTGGAAATAGTTTTCTGCTTGGAAACATTAGCATTTTGGAGCTGGTGGTGCTAATTGTTGGGAGAGGGTATGAGCATGATTTCTTCGCAGTCATTTGCTTGTGTCCGTTTCTAGTCATCTTTGAACTTCACGTTTATGGATTCTTCCACTACCTGTGAATCTTTAATGAATACACGATAAGCTTTACTAGTAGTTGAGTATCCCAGAAAAATACCTTCACATGCACGAGCATCAAATTTCCTAATGTTATCATTCTTAGTTTTGAGAGTGAAACATTTGCATATGAATACGTGAAAATATGATATATGGGGTTTTCTTCCTTTGAAGACTTCATAGGGAGTCTTTTCCATAAGTGATTTTAGTAGTACTCTGTTCAATGTGTAAACAACAGTAGCAACTGCTTCTGCCCAGAAGTATGTAGGTATATTTCTTTCAATCATCTTAGTTCTAGCCATTTCTTGCAAAGATAGATTTCTTCTCTCAGCAACTCCATTCTATTGAGGAGTGTATGCTGTGAAGAAATTGTGTTCTATTCCATTTTCGTCGCAATAATCAGCAAACATTTGATTTTCAAATTCACCTCCATAGTCTGTTCTGATTGTTGTGATGTTGTATCCTTTTTCATTTTGGATCTTTTGAACAAATTTCTCAAATGAATGAAATGCTTCATTCTTGTGAGATAGAAACATTACCTAGGTGAATCTTGAGTAATACTCAACAATCACCAAACAGTACCTTCTTTCTCCTAGACTCATGGTCCTTGTAGGTCCAAATAGATTCATGTACATGAGCTGCAAAGATATGTTAGTTGCAATTGTATTTATTGACTTAAAAGATGATCTGACTTGCTTTTCCAGAGTACATGCACTGCATAAGTCACATTTGATGAAGTTGATTTTTGGAAGACTACGAACAAGATCTTTTGATGAGATCTTAGTAATTTGCTTAGCATTGATATGACCTAATTTCTTATGCCAGAGGTCACATTCATCCTTTATAGACATTAGGCATTGAACATCATCAAAATTCACATTTAGCAAGTAAATGTTACTATACTTTTTACTTGTGAATAATTGGGATTTATCTTGACTTAGACCAATACATTTACCTTCCTCAAAGATGTCTTGTATCCATTGTCACAAAGTTGACTTATGCTTACGAGATCGTGACCCAGTCCTTTGATCAGTAAAACATCTTCAATGATCATATTTCCTAATCTAATGTTTTCTTTACCGATGATCTTTCCTTTGTCTTTTCCTCCAAAGGTAATAGTGCCTCCATCTATGGTGATGGGACTTATAAATTTGGAACTATCTCCCGTCAGAAACTATCTCCTATCGTATGTCGTGAGCATCCGCTGTCTAGGTACCATTTGTTTCTCTTCAAAATTATCTACATTGAAAGAGATGCTCTTCTTTTCTTTGGTACTCACTTAAACTTGAGTCCTTTAATGTTAGATTTGGGAATATCATCAAATCTCCAGTGAACCTTTTTGGGCTTCATCTGCTTATTTGGACATTCTAACTTGAAATGACCATATTCATTGCAGATTGAACAATCAGGAAATTGCTTGTCGGAGGATGTGGTGAAGTGTTTTGCTTAATGACTCTTATAACGATTGCAGGAGGTCGTTTAGCCCATCATTCCTTGAATTTTGGAAAAGGATTCTTCTCATTTTCATTTCCTCATGTCATAAACCACATTTGTTGTAGAGAGGAATCTGAATTGAGAGAATGTGCTTCAAGATTTCTAAACCAAGAGAAGACTTTGTGCTGATTTTTGAAATCTCTTCCTTGAGAGAGTCATTCTCAACTTGAGAAAACTTAACTTCCATTTCTTGGAGGTCATAGTCCTTTTTCATGTTGTCAAATACAGTCTTGCAAGCAAGTTTTTCTGTGGTAAGATCAAATACTTCCTTTTCAAAATAGAAATTCTTTTTAAAGCCTTTTTGTGTTCTTTAAATATTTCTTTTAAAAAATCCTGCATTTCTTCATAAGATAGTTTAAGCTGATTTACCTCATTTTCTTGTTCATGATCTAAGTTGGCCATTAGACAAAGATTTGCTTCTTCTTCATCATTGGCTTCACATTCTGATTCATTCCATGTTTCAGCTTTCAGTGCTTTCTTTTTCATTTCATACTTTCCTTCCTCTTCTCGACCAATGGGCAATCTGGGTTTATATGACTTGGTTTCTTGCATTCATAACAAACAAGATCCTTACCTTTGAATTCTTCTTTGCTTTTGTAAGGTCCTCTTTCTTCATGGAACTTCATTTGTCATTTGCCTTTGAAGTTTCCTCCTTTTTTCATGAGGCCGTTAAACCTTCGAGTGAACAACGCCATGTCTTCATCAACTCCTTCATATTCTGATGACAATTGATCACCTGCATTATTGTTGTTAGCTTTAAATGCTATAACTTTCTTACTTTTGAGCTACCTTCCTCAATTTTTTGTGCCACTTCATAGGACATGAATGTTCCAATAAGCTCTTCGAGTGTAATTGATTGAATCCTTGTTGTTTCTCGTACCGAGGTCTTTACATTGTTCCATTCCTTTGGTAAGGCTCTCAGTAGTTTGTTCACTTTTTCTCCATTTATGAATAGCTTTCCATGGTGTGCCAGACCGTTCACTATCTTCGTGAATCTATTGAACAATTGAGCTACTGTTTCATTTGATTTCATCTTGAAGAGCCCATACTATCCAATGAGGATATTCAGCTTTGTCTCCTTCACTCTATCAGTTCCTTCGAATGTCAGTTCTAGTAGATCCCTCATTTTTTTAGCTGTAGCACATGTACAATTTTTGTTATATTCAGTAATAGACAAAGAACAATATAAAAGATATTTGGCTTTAGCATTATGAGAGGCTCTTCTTCTTCGTGCTTCCTTTGTATCAGGTGCAGTAGAAGCATTGGTAGTAGCATCCTCTGCTGGAGCTTCTTGTGCATCTCTCCGAGTAGTAGCTGGTGCAGGTACTTCCATGCCACGTGAGATTACATCCCATATTTCGAGATCGGTTGCCTCAAGATAGGCTTGCATTCTATACTTCCAATAGTTGTAATTGCTTCCAACAAAGTAGGGTGGCTTGTTAGGAGCAAGAGCATCACTAGTGATAAAACCACCAAAGTTGGCTATGAGAGAATATCTTTATACTCAGAAGAGATACACTTCTAAAGACGAGAAACAGAACTCTGATACCAATTATTGAGACTAACTTTGGAACCTAAAGGAAGGGTGAATAGGTTGCTTTAGAGGTTTTAATAACTTTCGCAAAAAACTGCATGTAATAAGTGATATCGAGTTTCACCAGATGTAAGAGAAGTAAAGATTCACCTGTGTGCTAGAAATGATAAATAGAAGAATAAGCAGCTGCACACAAGAATATATAGTGGTTTGGCTTTGATTCTAAGCATATGTCCACTCTCACCACTAACAGCCACAAGTTGGGCTGCATTGCACTAGTAAATTACTGAACAAGTTACACTCAGCATACACCACTCCTATCACTCGATAGATCACACTATCAAGAGTTGGATGTAGTTATTACTTGGTACACTTGATTTTTCAACACAATTACTATGCAGCAAGTGCTATGGACAGACAAGAGCTTTTTGCTACGAAGTACAGCAAGTAGCAAATTTCTGAAATTTTTTAGCACACTACTTGTTGGCTTCAAAGACCTTCTCTTTTATGGGCATCTTCAATATAATCGTTGATGATGTCTTGGAGAGGCAAGATAGCCGTTAGAGTCCGTTGGAGCTATTGTCCTAGGAACTAACTGTCGATACAACCTTTTTCAAAACTTCTGCAGACTTTCCTAAAATAGCTTCTGCAGCTATTCTGTAGCTGCGTCTCTAACATACTGTTAGACGACCTATTCTTCCTATCTTCTTGATCTTTTGCTATGTAAGTCCGGTTAACAATAGCTATAATAGTGAGATAACAGTCATATTAAATGATATGTTACTTAAACATTACCATTTACTTGATCTTTTCAGCTTTAATGAAATATCGTCATTTAGCTAATTTTTGTGATTGATGGTCCTGTTTATGTGAGCTTTCAAGGACAGTCTTGTGGTCTTTTCTTCAATGAATTACACCATGATTATCACTCAGTTCTTTGAATACATCTGCACTTAGACAATGTAGATATTATACTAAGGATAGTTTGGATATCATCAAAGTTCATTTGGAGATGTTTCTGCAACATTTCCGACATGAATTCAAATGAAGGGTAATATGTATCGACTCCAATTTACCTCTTTCTAATGTTGTCTTTGACATGATTTCTTTCTTCTTGATAGGAGACATCAACCATGTGGAGATCAAGCTCGTAGGTAACGTTACATCGTTCCCAATTTTTATCCTCCAATAGGTATACGCTGACATAATCGCTTTGATGCTTTTGTTGGATCAACTACCTATTGCAAGGTAGGTAAGTATCTTTTCCATTGAATTGTTCAAAAAAAGAAAAATTTGTAAATGCTTTTCAAAAGTGAACATTTTAAAACCATTTTGTTTCAAAAGCTTTAGTTGGAAAATAATTCCAAATTCAAAGCAAATTCGAAAACATGATTTTGAAGAATTTGAATGACATTCTTGGAATTGTTCATTCATGCATTGGCAAATGCATCATGCGTCAATAATCCCCACGAAGGATAATTTGAGCAAATGATATTTGACAAGGTAAAAAGGAATGTTAGTCATGCCAAGTCGGAGCATTTAAAATGACGAAAGGCAAGCCTTATCCAAACGTCCCTATACACTTTTGAGAGTTGAGCAAGAAATAAAACCTTATCTTAGGATATAGGGTTTATTTGCATTGAATATATGGATTGAGATGATAGAAGGCATTCATTTCTCTATCCTAAATACTCATTTTATCCCTTGTTAGCCACTTTGAGCCTAAATAGGGAGAATTTTCAAAATACCCCTGTTAAGAACCACCTCACATTGGGGCAATTTAGGAGGTTATGGTTGATTATCATTGGAGCAAAAGATCAAGAAAGATTTTATTGCTTTTACTTGCATCAACCTTTTTTTGATAATTTCATGTGGATCTTTATGGAAGCTCGAAGCATCCCAAAGTGAATAAGAGCATTCTTTTCTATACCCAAACACTTATACCCCTTGCTTAGCCAAGTTGAGCCTTAAGCGTGTTTATTTCAAAGCTCAAGTGGTGATTATCTCCTCACATTGGGGCAATGCTATGATTTACCAAGAAATTGAAAAAAAATAGTAAAGTGTATTAAAAATGTCTCACGGATCCTAAGAGCTCAAAGTATAAATATTAGGGGGCATGAAAAAAGCAATGTGCTTAGTAAAAGCAAGGCTAATGCCCATGAAAAAAATGCAGCAAAAGAGGCAAGAGTAAAAAGCAATATACTCATGGTGAAAACAAAATTCCGAATGCAAATACAAAACAAAAAAGCTTAGAAAAGAGCAAAGCTCTTGTGTCGCAAGAAAAATGGTCTCTTGAGATAAGTTGAAATTTCAAGAGCCAAATGATATTGAGATTGGATGACTAGGTAATGATGCCAAGATAATCACCACTTTATTTTTAAACCCCTTTCAAGGATTTTCAAGCCTTTTGAGCCTCACCCCGAACCACCATTACAACCCTTTTCGAAGTCTCTTCCGATTAGGATGGCTTGGGTGGACATGAGGATTTCACAAAAGAAGCTACCGCTTAAAGGAGTGGAAGAAATTCTACCGTATCTTATCTTATCTTTGAGGTTCTTGACTTGTGAACTCGATGAAGATATTGATGAATACATCTTTCTTGGCCTCAAAACAACAATCATTTGTGTAAGCCCATGACTAAGCCTACATTACGATCTTTTGAAAAGACCTTTTTGATTGATCAAATTATATTCATTGTGAATATTTCCGAAGGCCTTTGACATAGGTTAGGTGAAATGTCTCTAGTGATTGAAGCCAAAATCCCACATCAATAAATGGGAGCAAAAGCCCTTCATGAGCGCCATTATGAAAAGTCCTTTTGATTAAAACTCTTTAACTTGGCACTTTTAACAAACTTTTTTGAATATGTCAAAATCATCTTGTTCAATGCATGAAAGGCAAGGGCCGATCCCGAGGCCAAGTCATTGTTTTGATTGATTGAATGTAATTGTTTGCTTTGATTGCATCTTTGCATCGCTTGTTTGCAATATATGAGTTTAAACGTAAAACCGATACTCGAGAGGCGACCCATGGTGGAGGTGGCCGAATTCTTGAAGGGTGATGGTCAATGTTCAATCCGGTCTAAAATTTTTGTAATCAATTTGATACCCGACCAATGTCTCGGATTTTCCATTAGTGTTGTAAAAAACACCCGACGAGTTGCGAGGTTTCTTTCCTTGCTCTTAGATTGGCTCGGATTTTTTACATTGAGTGTTTACTTTACACGCTCGCTTTTCAATACAATTGTTTCTTAATTTTTCTTTTCTAGATTAAGATAGGATTAGTTTAGAACCTTAAATGGAAATCACAAAAATAATATGCATGATCACCTAGTGGATTAGGACTTTGACATGAAAACGGTAAAAACAAATGCATAGTCACTTGGATAACAACCAAAGTAAGTTTAGCGGTATCAAAAGGGTGTTAATAGAAACATTAACGTAAGCTAGTCCCCGAACTTAGACATCTCTGGTTTTTGTAGAAATCGAAACGAAATTCCTGCATTTCGATTGGGTATTGTAGCCGACCCCCAACATAGGCTAGTGGTGACTCCAAATTGTTAAGAAACATAAAGTCAATCTCATGTCACGCGAGGTATGGATTGAGGAAGAATCCATGTTAATGATTAATGGATCTTGTGAATGAACAAAAAAGAATGACACTTCATAAGCCGTCTTTTGGGATGTGCCATTTGGACCGTTTCATGAACAATCCTCTAAACCCGCGCCTCCCGAGGCGGCCCTCGAGGGGTGGGTCGCAACAGTAGCAAATGGTTAGGGGTGAGGGACAACTTCCTTACGCCACTTCTCATTACCTCTTTGTGGTATCTAGCCAAATGGCAGCTGGTATCTCTAATTGCAGAAGATTTGGCATAGGACTTACTAATAATTCCGGGTTTATTCCAAATTACCATAAAATTTAAATTATTAAGTATCATTTGCTTAATTTTTTATCACAAAATCAAAATTAGATTCTGCAATGGTTCTCTCTATTGGCGTTTATACTAGCGAATTACTGTTTATCAATCTCACTTTTCTTTTCCAAAATAGTCCCTCAAAATTTTGATACAATATGGTAGTGTAGGTTCTTAAATGTGTTTGGCACTTCCTAACATTTTATGATTAAAAAAATCAGTGAATGTGTGGCACCTGCAAAGTGTAATTGTTTCGTTTTCTAGACAATAGCTATCACAAGGTTGTATTCGCTTTCTCTCCTTTAATTCAGCTATACATTAGATGTTTTACTTGATTTGTAGCTTATCTTATATGGCAATTCTTATGAATAAAAAGGAAAGCATATAAAAGGTAATACGAAAATTCTTATCCCATGCTATAAAAAAAGGAAAAAAAAGATAATATACCAATTATTATCCCAAAGATCAGTGAATGCATGGCATATGCCAAAAAGGAAGCTTCGCTAAAAGGAAGAAAGGAACAAAAATAAAAGAAGGAAAATAAATAAAAAGAGTATCGCAATTATTATCCCAGAGTGAAAAGGAACAAAAATAAAAGGTAATACGGTTATGGCGAGATAAGAGATCCTTAAATAACTGAATGATTCTGATGTAGGAGTCATGATATGCGACGATGATGAATTCATCAGCTAAGCTCATATTTATTTTTTCTTTATTCTTAACTAGTTGTGCAGGGTCTATTTGGAAGAAGACATATGTTGAGATCCAAAACAATTTGCCTGCCGAAACTACTCTAACAGTTCATTGCAAATCCAAGAATGACGATCTCGGAATCCATGATATAACAACAGGAGGCAACTGGAATTTCTCATTCCATCCCAATATC